TGGCAGAGGAGTATGAAGGAGATCACGAAACGCTTGGGTGCTGTCGGTGCTACTCACCTTCCAGGATGGGGACGCGTGATACCCACTGCAGTTGGTTGGAGACACGGCTGCTCACCGATGTCGGTGGTGTTCTTTTTGTCTGTCTCTGACCAGATTGCCTGAATGAATGTCTGGAAGTGTATGATTGTAGTAAGGTAGCACCAAGTCCTCTCTCTGTCCATCTTTATTCTTTTCTTCGGACTAGACCTTCCAAATAAATCATGGCTGTACGGCAGCGAAGCATCAGTGTTGAACACTGATGTCATGCTGTCGATGTTGATGATGATGATGATGATGTTTATGATGATTAAAAGTAGCTGTACCTGGTTTTTCCACTGGGGTCTGCAATAAAAGATTGTGGATGTCCTTGAAGGTGACCTGATTTATTCTTATTAATGGACGGTGAGTAAAATACTCTCTTCAAGCGTTCGTGTTTTTCACAACAGCTAACCTCCTTATTGTTTGAAAGAGGACCTTCTTTTCGTATCTAAGACCTGGAGAGCACAGAATTTTCAGTTGCGTTACTTGGACGTGACTATCTCATCAGCATAACTATCCTGTGCAACAGCTTTTTTGCCGCCCTATTTTATTAAGAACGGAGACATTGCGTTTCAACTTCGAGCATTTGTGAATTGAGTATTCATCTCGTCTTTAAAACACAAACAGTAGTACGATTGTGCTTCCTTGAGCAACCTCAAAATAAACACATCTGAGCATCCTAACGAAATAAATTGTCACCACCACGATTGACCGAGTGCTACTCGCGAACCTCAGCGGGCAAAGCCCTAGCACACAGTTACAGGTGAACTTTAACTAGGCATGCGTGCCGTTGCAAACAGTTGCGTTGCGTGCTATGCAATGTCTCTGGCCATTTGCATGCAAGATCACATGGGTTTCGCCCAGGAAGGCGCGAAGACCCCGTAGCCCTCAATTCAATTCGAACCACCTTCATATCAGGATCACAACAGCTTCTTTTTGAACAGACCCTGGAAACAATGTATCGATGCAGAAAACATCCAAGGACTCACGTATTGTTACAAGTAGTCCCTAATGAATCTTCTTTTAACCACCTTCCTCCTCCTCATCTATCGGAAATTTTGCGCTAACCGTGTGGGAACTGTAACTGTTGGACGATTTGAAAGCAACACGATAGCTGGGTTCATTCCCGCCACCTAAGGTCATTGCTTTCTTCATGCACAAATAGCAAGATATTTTCAATTGGCACCTAATCAAAGTCTTTCTAACACAAGTGCATTAAAATCAGCTCAAGTAAGCAACAGATAATGACGTTTTGTAAGCTGTCTTGGAGGGAAAATAGATGGCTGTGGGATGAAAATAATGCTTTTAATAGAGGAATTAGAATATGTTATATCGCTGTAACCCCTATAGTAGTTAGGAAACCAAGTGAACCAGAGATATGAAGAATGGTTATTTGATCCAACTGAAGACCACTCGAGGTTGGCAAGGGTCGAACCAGGTTATAGTGAAGCTGTATATATGTGTCCGAATCGTATGCTCTCCACTGCTCACCGGGGTATAATCACGAAATGTTAAAGTCGGCCCTATCACTCAAATGATCTCTATGGTCTATTACTTATGGCAGAAGATGAGCTACATCTAGACTCACCCCGTTTTTGTTGTAACCTCGCTAGCAATCCATGGATGACCCTACTGACCAGAGAAGAAAAGAAAAATATCCAAGTTAGTGAAATCGCGGCACACGTGATTGCAGCGGTTGCCACTGTTGCTGCGATGGCATCTTGTCGTACAGCAAAATAAGTATCAATGTATGACCCCTCGGTTCCTGTAAAAAAAGGAACAAGAGAGCATGGATTGGCAAACCAGGTTATAGTGAAGCTGTATATATGTGTCCGAATCGTATGCTCTCCACTGCTCACCGGGGTATAATCACGAAATGTTAAAGTCGGCCCTATCACTCAAATGATCTCTATGGTCTATTACTTATGGCAGAAGATGAGCTACATCTAGACTCACCCCGTTTTTGTTGTAACCTCGCTAGCAATCCATGGATGACCCTACTGACCAGAGAAGAAAAGAAAAATATCCAAGTTAGTGAAATCGCGGCACACGTGATTGCAGCGGTTGCCACTGTTGCTGCGATGGCATCTTGTCGTACAGCAAAATAAGTATCAATGTATGACCCCTCGGTTCCTGTAAAAAAAGGAACAAGAGAACATGGATTGGCACCGCAATTATAGTAGTAAACAATCAGATAGTCTTGAACTGATTTCTCAACCGGCCCTATATGTAAAATTGATGCGCATAAGCTCATTAACTGTGTGGTCGTCTCCAAAGGAACATAAAGTTTATGGTCAGTTGGTGGAATGCGCTTATGCACAGATTATGTTGATGGTAACGATGAACTTAACTAAATCGCTCGTTTATCACATTGTTCAACTGAATATGTTTCACCGCTTTATGATTCAGTTGGCTTATTATTCTAAATATGGTAGTATGTTTTCCCGGTGGAAAACTTTCCGATAGCCAGGTTTAACCATTCTTTGGACTCGACAATCAGGTGTAGTTCCTTAGTTACCATCAGCATCATGTTCACCTTGAATACCGATTTCCAGATAGCTCACCGGTTAAGAGGGAAACTTACTGACTGGAAGATCTGTGGTCTGAATCCAACCACGAAATCTCGATTGCTCATGTCCAGGCTAGGGCAACCCGGCAGTGTCTCAGTCCTTCTCCCAAGCGAACCTCAGCTCATCTACGTTGCCAAGTCAGATCACGATTGAGAGACAACTAATTAATCAGATTAATCTTCAAGTTTACTAACTAGAGAGTCAAATTTCCAGATTTCATTCTTAATCACCGTTTGAATGTCTGTAAACTTACGTGCGCATGGGTGCTCACCACACTTTGCATATTCTACGGACGCACCGAGACATTCACGCTGTTCGGTTGAATTTTTCATCAATGAAAGACAGTTGCGCGTCCGGACTGTGTAACGCACGTCTCCGCATCCGGGTCTGCACGTATCCCACGGTAACCATTCTGACCATTCGCCAACCCACAGACTGCAGGCACTTCCGGAAAAACCCGGATAGCAAAGACAATAAACCTAGAAGAACAATAGAAAGTCGTTTGTGCTTGAAAATACTTGAAAGTAAAAAGTATACATACTTATTGAAAACGCATATTCTATAGAATTGCCTCTAAGTATGTTATTTCAATTGGGAATTCATATTAGAATATTTCCCAAAGCCATTTTGTTCACTAGTCGGCGGAAGTGAAAAAATAAGCACTCTTGAAAAGCCCATATTAAAAGTACAGGCTAACAGACTGCATGGATCTACACTTCTAAGTCACCACTATTGTGTCTAACTGGATTTTGTCTTTCCCCATTAGTTGGTTCTGAAACTTCTTAGGTATGATGCCTTCTGCGGAGCACCGTTTTCTTGTAAGATCTCAATACTTAGTTTGAAGGGCCCAGTCAAAATGGTCCACTTTCACCAGCTTGTCTTTCTTGAACGTATTTATTTCAGCGTACACGGTGGGTTGAAATCCACAAAATGAGACCGAGTATTATTGACGGGAATGAAAAACGGAAACATTTTTCGGGAACTAGTTAATGCGCATATGATTTAGCGTTAAGAGGCAAGTACCATTGGTGTTTCGTGGGCCAAACCATTCTGTTATAATAACCTTTGTCTTACATTGATCATCCTCGGCATCAGTGACATCGTGATCATCACTGACAGCAGAACCAGAAGCACGAACAACCAAAATGGGCTCACAAATGCCGTACTATCAAAAAGGAAGAAAGGATTAGAAAATAATTGAAAGAAAGTTAATACAAAAAAGTAGCCGTACGGGTTACCTATTTGTGGATCCGGGTTGTTAATTCTCAGACAGATTACCAGACACCGTCTGAACGATCTGTAAGGACTCCCTTCACAAATATCCTGTTGCCTGACTTCCTACCGAACAGGCTCAGTTCGTTAAGAATTTCAATGACGGACCCAGTTAGACCAGCTGCTTGAACCGGCTGCTAGAGTGGATAATGTGACGCAGCTGACTTTGGTTGCTTGTCGTGGCCAACCCTGAGTGATCGAACGAAGATGAAATAGATACTGTACAAGCTCTGGTGTCTCAGGGGTTTCATTTGAACTCAATTATCAAGTCACTCATTAACTCTCGCATTTTAAGGTCACGTCGTTTTCATTCCGTTAGAGATCTACGGGTAACGTAAGCTCCAGCCGACGTACTCGCTCAACCTTCCCAACTAGTTTCAAGTTTGCCCTCGCATAATCACTTGCCAGAAATATGCATCTGTGAAACTTTACTATGTACTTATAAACATTCACAGAAAGGATTTTATGGTGCGTATATTAATGAAGTAATGGCGTGCAGCTCGGAAGAGCAGCGATTCAAACTTGTTCAGAGTGGTTTGACTAAATTTTACTACGGCTGTTGAGTAGCGATTTGTGATAAATCATTCCTGTGGATAAATGTGACTTCAAAGTAACAGGTACCGTAATTCCATCAAGAATCCACTCTTATTTGGCTCTATTATTGTTTTTCGGTATTTTCCGTTAAGATGAGACCAGCACTGTACAGACTGAAAACACTATCTGCCCATAGTAGTACGGATTCACGAAACCGCCTTTCATCCAGTCAAATGAGCTATTTAGTGAAGACGAACTCGAGCCTCGATCACCCAGATAGCAACTCCAACTTAAGCCCCAAGTGCCGCACAGCCAATCAAATTATGGGCTAACCGCCAGTGAGCGTATTTGAATAAGCAGCGATGAGTGTTATTTGCAAGGTGACAAAGACCCATGTTTTTCACCTATTAAGCCGATAATTCCCACAAAAGTAATAAGTCCTTTTTGGTAGATTTCCCCGGACACAACACCTGTAGAAACGAATAACTTTGTTCTACTTGGCATCCAATCAAAAACCAATTTGAGACGTGAACAGATTCCCATCCCTTGTGGTGCCTGCGAGGGCATTTAATGAAGCAAAGCGTTTACTCACCTTACCTCCTTGTTCACTAGTCATACAATCTCCGTGAATGCAAATGGCCGAATCACACACCGTTCGTTTTTTCAAACAATTATCGTAGGCCAGACCTGGATCCGGAACCCATGGGTTTCCGTTGCAGCTGCATCGGTAGTAGATATCTCCCTCACCACTGGTATGTGAATGACATCGGTTCCCAGCATAGATCACGTTGCAGGCAATGTGGCCTGGGATGCGCAGGCCACCGTTAGGCAAATCTGGATGTCTTACGAGTTGTTCGCAGGCATTGACTGGCCGTTCACATCGCACACCAAAGTATTGCGGCCTGCAAACACACCGTCCTTCCTACGAAGCAGAATTTTAGGAGAACATCGATGATGCAGAAATCAATTTCCCATCAGTTGTCGAAGATATCCACAATACTGAAGAGGTAAGCTATAGAGTAAAATGATGTGTCGTTGAAGTTTGAACTCAAAATGTATTTACGACTTTCTACTGTGAGTTATGTAAAAAAAACTATCATGTATATATCATATGTATATTCTGTATGAATGTATCTAGGTCTAACTCAGTTACATGGACTCACGAAATCTCTAAATAATAAAGCGTTATTTAACTTAACCTGCTGTTTACTGAAGATCAGAAGCTCGATCGTGTTCAAACTTCCAAATCAACATTTCCGCTATAAGTCATAAATGCCAAAAGATCAGAACTTTTTGTTTTATTTTTGACACTCTTTTTGGATCCAAGCACATATTTCCCAATAGTGGCACAATAAGCTGGGATACAACGTTTGGAATGAAATAAAAACGTTGTTCTTTTTTTACTTGAATAGATCGTTCCCTCTTAGCTTTGCAGGTCTTAGATCTGTGATGACTGAAGGAAAAAGCTGCAAAAACATTATCTTTCAACTTGTGTTCTTAATAGTGCAGTAACCCCTATGCATGAATTACGTACTCGTAGGGTTCCTGTAACGATTAAAGAGCGGAACCGTTATTTGCGATTTTGCGTCACGCCTGCTGAAACGAATACATTTATTGATTTAAATGAAGATCTTATCCCCGTTACCTTTGAAAACACGTTGCGTTTATATACGACCAGACTAGAGATTATCAAAAAGAAGTACCCTAAACCAAACAGACACTTCACGTTTGATTTCACTTAAACTTGAACGATGCTTTAACCAGCGGCATGTTGGGGACGCTTTTGATGATAGCGATTTCCCTCGTTCCTCGGATTTAGTGAACGCTTTTTTTCCTAGAACGTCCGACAAAGAGTCACGCACACCTAAATAAACAATTATGTTGTGAAAAACTTAGATCACAATTTTCAAATGATCCACGAATATATGCTCATAGATTTTTCAGAGCCGAACTCAATGCCACTTTGTGTGAGTTTCTATCACGAGGGTGCAAACTGTGTTATCTAAGCATAAGTTGGTTCAAATATCCGCTAAGTTGTACTTCTCACGCGTTTGGGTTGAGAGAGTGGCATGATGATCATGTATAAGGATGAATGCCTTGACAAGAAGTCCTTGATACATGATGAGGAAAGTAAATTCAGAAGCCATCTACACAAAGACAATACCATTCAGACTGGATGAAAGATACTTGTTTCCCGAAGTGGATGCAAAATGCCGGCACCACTACTCAGACCAAATAGGATTAACCGCTTATTCTGAGGCTCAATGGAATACCTGAAATCCACGAACCCTATCGTTCGCTTAGACCCTATATCCCCGGATAAATGACTAGCTGAAACTCTCAAACAGATTCGGTGTAGGATTCGTCATTACAGCCTATGAGACAATTTTACATTCTTAGATGAGATCAAGGAATTGAATGTGGACAAGAAGCACACGACGTCATTGGACGTATCTCCCTTCCTGACTGAAGTCCTGCTCGAAGAAACAATCTGTTGTCTCTGTGACTGTATGAAAGAATAAAACATCAACCCAAATATTCCTATTGATGGTCTACGGGAATCAATGTTGCAATGCACATTTGATATTCAGTTTCAAATCAAAGAAAGACTGTAACAACTCTTTGAGTGTCGCAATAGGTTCTCTATTAGGCCCATTCTTTGCCATTGTTATTGTAGATCACCCTTAGAACCATGACGTCTACCCAAGTAGAGAAAGAACGCCCTTCTGTGGGCGATGATCCTCAGAACTACCGGAAATCTTAACGAGACTTACTCAAGCACGTCAGGTCATTCAATTAACATCCGGCAAATAATGGTGCTTTTTTTACATTTTCTGGACGTACAGATGTTAAAAGTTCAGTTTAAAATTTAGCGATCTGAACTGAACAACGCACTAACTTGGACAGCTTCGTCCAACTGAAACAAAAGTTTGTTCGGTGTCATGTTGAAAGAGCAAGATAAATCTGCTCTGGAAGAAAACTTAAAGCCAGGCGTAACTCGCTAGCTACCATGATTCCGAGAAATGATTATCCGGACAAGCTCACCTTAAAACACACGGCTGCTACAAGTAAGAAAACCGAGCCGGTTACAGCGAAAAAAATTCATCTTTATCAGTCTCCCTTTCCAAGTGAGACTTGGTCGCAGACCATCTGACTTAACACTATACAGTATGGAAAACCTTCCCAGCTACTTCACTCAAGGTGTGGTTCACGGCTATTGAGCCGGTACCCCCACATCTTAAAGAAATGCCGTCGGTTCATGCTGAAAGCATGGTAGTCTACTCCTATGCTTGATATTGTCCAGAAGAATATATAGGGCAGTTAGTCAAGAGAGCACAGAAGCATAATCCATTTTTGGTTGATAGCTGGATCGAGAAGGTCTATTGCCAGTGCAAAAATCACTCATTTGGCTGATACCAGTCGTTCGATTAACCTCACTACCACTTGTCGAATACTGTACCAAGGGTCTATCCACCCACCAAAATCCGTTTAATACTAGTTTCTGGCCTCAGCTGAGGTCATTGCAATTCGCTCACCCAAAAACCGGGGTCTGTGCACTCAGAAAGCATTCATACGATCGTTGAGTCTTCCAGATGTGCTTATGTGGCTGTTGGCTACCCAGGCCAATCGACCTTGACGTAAACAGTCTTCACATTTCGACCCACAAGTTACAGTTTATCACTGCTTCACTAGTATGGACAACTGGTGGTAAGTCTTGTAAGAAATCTTTCCGTATTACCCAGAAGAAGATATCACGAAAGCATTATTGTTTGTCAACCTATGACGTGAATAAACTATGGTGAGTTTGTCTCGTAATGGTGGGGAGATTAAGGGTCTTGTTAGATAGCCATTTTACTACCAAATGAGGCGCGCAGTAGACAAGGGACAAGCTCAGTATAAATGAAATCCATAATTGGTCTGAGATACGAAAGAGAAGGAGCTTGCATCGTCTATGTCATCAGATATCAGTACCAGCAGATGGATTTCTGATTGCACCGCATTTTTTATCTTCAGCATATTCGTTCGTTGTAACCAGCATCAGGGGAATTTCGTACCAGCATCTTCGTTGCCGGAAATTTATTTTTTGCTTTAGGTTGTTCAACATCTAAACAGTCCGCAAATAAAGCCCACAAAAGATGACGTCCCGTCAAACCAGACAGCTTATTTTAGTCCCAGTTTAGTCACGCAAAAGTCGCAATAGGATTGATGGTGTTAGCCACTTTATTAATGAAGGGTGAAATAGAGCTTATAACCAGACGGTCGCATCATGTAATAGGGTACGGTAGGGAAACAGAACGCCAAATCAAATCACTTTTCTTAACTTTTCCCGCAAATACGTTGGAGGCTTTTATTAACAAGGTGCATAAACGGTCGGAATAGCAAGGAAAAAAGAAGGACAAATCATAGTAGCGACGATTTAGTTTACAGCCCATCTGTGGAGATTTAGTTCCTGGTCGATGTACGGTCCAAGTCAGAACTACATGAATCAAGTTCTAGAATTTCTTATTAGTTGGTTACGTAATAGCAGCTTGTGAATAAGAGAAAAGAGAGCTTTTTTCAAGCATTAAACATGGCGCCTATCACAAATTTTCTGATTGCGGACGGCGTACATCCTATTCACAACTGACTAACAAACAAGCGTACAACTCACCATTGCAACAGAATCATGCCGACAATATAAGGTTCCCTCAGAGTGGCATTTCGTTTCTTCATCACACTCACCAGGACGGGAAAAAGGTTTTTGCTGGAAAAAATTAACGAACTGATTGTTGTCTGAGGTTACTTGCGAAAGAAATAGGTGAATTGCTTCTAACTCTACTGGTGATCAGACTTATCTGAAGTTCATTTCATCAAGCAGTGTACAGTAAACTACGACCAATTTTCTCCCGAATCTTTCTTAATCAGTCGCAGTCGACTCACCAGTTTTAAGTTCGTCGGAAGAGAGTAGGTTATTCATAGATTGCTTAGCCAGGAAAACTATCCTTGCTACTAGGACAGAGATTCGGGGACACCATATGTTATTCAGTGAAATAATGAATTTCCTCATGCGTCAATATTTGGCTGACAAATATTCAGTTGTCTGCTAATTTTTATGGCATTAAATCTAGATCCAAAAACCCTGTACCCTTTGAGCCGAAGCATACCATGTCGCCAACGCGGTAAACCTCTGCATTTTGACCGACAGCTCGTTTCTATCGCGCTACTTCCACAGATCCGATGTTGTGATCAGCCGCACTCCAAAATGACCATAAACCCATAAAACTCTCCCAAAAAATCAGTATGCTTCATGATCATTTGTTTTTCCCCTACTACGACCGGGTCACTCTGAAGACTCCAACAGATGTTATTAAAGTCATTTTGTTTATGAATCGAGTTAAATCTGCAAAAATACACGTCATTTAACGATGATTTTCAGCTTTATAACTGGTTTTGCCATAAGTATCATTCCTAGTAATGCCAAACCGTACAGGTTTGACGTGACACAGACGAATCTGACTGAATTCACCATCAATGGAGAATTACTCTGTCTTAAATTAGTGCACGAAAATCAATCGGTTAAAGATCAGAGTATATGAATAAACATTTAACGGGATTAGAAGTGAAGCAACTAAAATAGTGCGTTTGATCTCGCGCATCCAGTCAGCTGTTGGTTAACCATCTATCCTCTCTGCATACTCTTAGCACTGGATGGATAATGCCCTTCTTGATCAGTAGAGGAAAGATTGTACAAAAATAATACGAGCGGACAAGCATTGTATTGCCAGAGGAACAAGTCCCATAACGTTCAATTTCAAGGAAGAAACCCCCCACTCCTGGGAACTACTTCCAATTCCTCCATGTTGGAATGTCCCGTCGGCCCGCTGGTTTCTGCTTCTTTGATTTTATTACAGTTAACCTGGTGCGTAAGAGCTGATAGGTCTGCGTTGAGGATGATTTGGAAGTGCTCCATTGGTCTGAGGGTCAGTTCGTCGACGCAGTGCTGTCTTCAAGCTTTACTGTCGCTTAGACCACATTTGAGAATCCTAGTTTAAATTAAAAACATATCAGAAAAATACACTCATTTGCAAACAAATTTGGTTTTGTGGGAGACTCACTTGGAACCCAGCTGAATCGCTCGGGAACTGCGGTGACCTTATGAGCCCCCAAAAAGGCGAAACCGGCCGTGGACCATCGAGGAATTTTCAGCAACCTAATTAGTAGTGTATTGCGTCCATGCAAGCATCGCACTATCTCGAATATCGTACGAACTGAAGCATGAGGTGGCCTGGTGCGTCACATACAGTTGCTTAGAAACAGCATGAGCGAGAGATTCGACTGGGTTCCGGGTGGGTTTCTCATGAAAGCAATTTTGTTTGCAAATGTGTGTTTCGCTGATTTCGTGTAATTTGGTTTCGTGTAGGACATAAGGTGGACGGGGACTGCGCCTACCTAATGAGTCACAAGAAAGCCGAAACCGGTCGTGAGCTGTCGAAGAAGTTTCAGCAACTGTGTGGGTAGTTTCCTTCAGACGAGATTACCACTTGCCTAAGGGGAGAGATGGCTCATTGGTTAGAGCACAGATTTACTAACCGGAAGGCCATGGTTCAAACCTGACTTCTGCCTCTCGACTTTCCTGTCTAGGTTTGGGCAACCCTGGAGTATCCCAGCACTTGTGCTCCCTTCTGATGGCATGGAAGTTGGGCACCGAAAGGGTTTTGCAGCCGGACGATTTTTTTACTACTTTTCTTACATCAAGGAATGTTCTATGCAGTTGACCTAATGTTTGTGCGAACTTTACAGATCGATTCTCTATCATCACAGTAATCGTGAAACTGACAAAGTCAAGTAAAGTGGTTAGTTCACACACCATCAATTGCTTACCTTTATTTGGCCATCGTGTAGTTCTACGTAATCTCTGCTCAAACAAACATGCATATCAGAATCCCACTTTTGACCTGATGGGCATTCACAGGTATAGTCATGTTCGAAAATCCCGACTTGTGTGCACGATTCCACACGACATTGCTGTTGATGTTGGCACGGATTAGGGCACAGACAGCTATAAATATCATGCATCTGTTTCCTCCATAACATGCCGCATATGCCCAGGCAGCCGGTGACGAAAAACGACTGTGTGCTCATTGACCAACGACTTTTCTCTCGATTGACGTAGGTTGTAAAGTCTCCATGTTCCATTAGAAGGTCCGATTCAAATCGGCTAGACCCTTGCCCAAATCTGAGTAGCTGTTTTCGAAACATTTCCCGAAGACGTACCGTACAAGACTCATTTCCTTTACATTTGAGCAGACATGGTTCATTGTACACGGGCTCAAACGCTTTCTCAAATTCCAACGAAAACAACGTTTGCATTGTGTTGTATTCCGAACCAAATATTGGATTTGTCAGCTCCGTTTGTTCTACAGAAAAAACCTTCGGGACAAGGTCGTTGCAGAATGAGTGGTTCATGGCTGCGGTGACAAATCCAAAGGCTAGCCAGAAATAACACAATGTATTAAATCGTATCTGATACATGAGGACGACTGGAAAACTGGTCTGATGAGGACATAATTGTCTACACATGCAGAAACACTAAGCTAGTAGGAGGGGTACCATTATGTCCACGCGCCACTGCATTGATTATTCAGTTCAAACGCTGGTTTATTGATTTTGTGACACGGTGCTTTTGCATTTGTGGGTCTACTCTGGAACTTTTACAGAATAGTCACTGTGAAATAACCAGATTTTGACGTCGGGGACAATAACGGTCTTTCGTGAACTTGGGAGAAATTAAACTCATGTTCGTCGAGATACTGACGTCTACATGAATCCGGTTCGTTTGAATAGGACCAACTTGACCACTTGGACAAAAACCTCGCAAAGCGAAGCGGAAAAAGAATGACGAGCCAAGACATGCGTTGGAACCATCCTATGGGTGTCTCGTGCCCCGGTGTTCCAAGGGGCATACTATAGTCCACATTCTGGAGCCTGCTATGAAATGTACCTTGTAAAACTGTGCTAATACTATCACTAATAATGCAACATGCATGACCGCATAGTATTTTTTGAAACCATTTTCTAGATTTCTCCGCGGCGGATAGTGCTCATTAAATAAAGTAGGATTATATATATATATATATATATATAGTTTGCGCATTGAGTTTGAATTTCCGCTAACTTCACTCGGTCATTGCATATTCGTATTTCAGAGGCAAGATGTGTATGCAAGTTGAACGCCGGACACAAACCAAGGGTAACAGTTCTAGAAAGTAAAACGTCTAGCCTCCCCCAGTACAAGTTGGTCATATACATAACATACATCTTTCATGGCCTTTAAAGAAACCTCAACGCAATGCATTGTTGAACACCACACCATGTTCCACTGCTTTGCACGTAGACTGTGGGGCCGATGACGCCCCAAAACTTCCAAAGTGCTGATAACTTAGCTGTGACAGTGCAAGCTCGGAAACTGATGAGCATATTTACCGTGGCGTCAGAGAGCCAAAACTTCCAATCTGTATTGACGAATGCCAAATATCATCATTAGGTGGCCTTTGGGTGTTCGCTACGCACGTTTGTCCCTCTGTATGTTTGATCAAACTTCTCGTTCTTTCATGGATCATCCCGGATAGGTTCAGAGCTGAACTTGAAGGGAATGTATATTTCGATTGCCGTGCACCGTTTTGGCTGTAAACTAACGTCAAATACTGAGCGCTATTAGGTTCATCTTTTATTAAGGGACTGAATTAACTGTGCCATTCGACCTTGTCGACATGCATACGGGTGCTTTATGGTCCATGCAAAATATTTTGGAAAATAAACTACTTGAAGATTGATGACTTAAGTTTCGCAGTCCCGATTTACAGTCCGAACATTCTCACTGGAAATCTCATTCCCCTATGGTCACCTAACCAAAGTCAAGATGAAGAGGCCTTCAACGTGGTAAATTAGCCAATTGACCTTAAATTACCCACGTCTCCCAGTCACATTGGAAGATAGGGAGATTACAAGTCATTATAAGTCTTAGTGCTGACTGAACTAACTAACTGACTGACTAGCTAACTAACTAACTAAATAAATAAATAAATAACCAAGTAACTAACTAACTAAGCCAAAACCACTTAAACCAGAGCTTCAAAAGAGATTCCGTCTGACCGAGAAGCACTGTGGAGCTGTTTTATTCATTAGGAGTAGCAGCAGCAGCAGGGAGCTAGCTTCTCCTTAGACAAGACATAGCACCATTCGTCCTACGATCACAGAAACGACCACACAGAACTCAGAGTTTCCAACCTCTCCAAGTGGGAGCTAACCACAGCTTGTAGTTGAACGGTAAAATATTGAACCACTGATTGCAGGGTCACGGTTTCCAAAGTCTGAGTTTCACGAGATGCTCACCACTCATCATCTCATCATCATCATCGACAGCATGACATTAGTGTTCAACACTGATGCTTCACTGCCGTACAACCATGATTTATTTGAAAGCCCTGTTGTAAAGAAAAGAGTGAAAGGTGGACGGGGAAAGGACTTGGTGCTAGCTTACCACAATTATTCCGACGTGCCTACACCTCCAGACATTCACTCAGGCAATCTGGATAGAGACTGACAACGCCACTGACAGCTGTTGGCAGTCATATCTTGTAGTATCTGCAACCAGGCACAACTCACCACTGATGATTCCCATTTGTACAGCGCTTCTGCGCTTTTCAAAATAGAATGACTTCACTAGCAGGATGATGCCTCTTAAAAATTGCCAAGTCATCTCACCATTACAACATATCCGTCCGTTAGATCAACTTGAAACCTGGTGTAAGCAGGTGTTACATGAACAAGCCCCGCCCTAGGTCAGATGCTCATTAGTATTGATACAACAGATGCCCAACAAATCTCATGTGCGGACTGAATTAACCCTGGCAGAAGCAAGAAGGAAAACAAACAAAATCGGCTGCTGCACAATTAAGCCCTATAGTCTGACCGAATATGCGAGAACACAGAAAAAACAATGTGTGGTCTTTCTTACAACCAACTTCAATTCACAGGTCTATTGCACGTTATTTGGTATCGATTAAAGTTAAACATTATAAATCAGAAAGAAAGTTGCACAAGGCCCTACCCAACACTCGATGAAACTCTGATGAATTGGTTTTTCTGATTCAGTGAACAATTCACAATATTTGTACGGAATTCAACCGGTTTCAATTAATCACCCGATTCAGAGATAAAAAAAGACTGTTTCGTATGTTGTCTCTTGAGACGGAAAAATTTTATTTGAATGCAAACATTGCTTTTTGCAAAAGTACACCAATCAGTATAAGAAAAAAATTTCATGTGACGGGTATACGGTTGGCCTGAATTCCCTCGATTAATAAATCTGCAGAATGTGATGGAATACAACTTGCCCAAACTCGATTGGCCAAAATGTCCCATAGAATGAAACTATGGATGGACAAGCTTTATTTTTGAGACCGTCAAATCCCGTGGAACGCTTAACAAATTATTCCACTACGATTATGCAGTAAATTCAGTTGTCACACATCCGAACAGAACATCTCTTCTGTTCCGAGATTTATTCATTTTACCCAGTCTCATCCGTACGATTTTTTACCACCTCCACTCGCAGAGACGAAAAAATGAACAATGATATAAACGTAGAACTGATATGAATTATCCCAATTGAACACAGTCAATGCAATGGTTAGTATGAAAAACCTTCATTGGCCTTGAGCCTCACTCTCTTTTATTTCGTCAGCAGTTGTGTCCGCAGAAGCTGCTCGCTTGCTCTTAACTCCGTGTCCTGTGTCTGGAAGAGAAGCCAGAAAGAGTGCTCATTATGGTTGCTCTAATAAAATGACATATCTGTTGAACACACTATAGAGTTTACAACTTTATCCTCTGACGTGCACTGTATATTTTTCACCCGTCCTCATACTAATAGGTACTGCTGATCAGTTATAGTTATATCCAGTGAGAAACAAAAGATTAGTTTCTCCACCAATAGACAAAGGCTTTAGAAAAATTTATCCCTTCTGTACAGAACTCACCTCCCCCAGACAACTACTCTTGGAATAAGCAAATCCTGCGACGTTCCAGAATACCCTCGATAACAAATTATCCGTCAAAAATATTAGACTGCATTAAGTGTTTAGACTAGTTAGCGTACTTAAAGACAGTATTTCTCGCACAGAGGAAAGAAGCAAACGACCCCAGCCTTTGTGTTTTTCAGAGTTACAGCTGGATTTATTGAGTATCTTGCAGCGGGAACGACAAAGGTTTTGCATCTACTTGCTTAATTTTTATTATGTTGGAAGTAATCCATCAAGGGAGGGTAGATTACATGTCCGAATAGAAATTGTCCTGATGGCCTATCCGCTCAAGAATCCTCAACTTGACAGTAATTAAAAAGCTCTATTACACGAATAACTCAGATCTATTTTGTGGCAAGTGAGAATGTGAATGGTGTGATTGGTTTTGATCTACCAGCACATCTAGTTCATTCTCTTTCTATCCCTGAGTGAGATCCCCACAGCATTCAAGCTACACCACTGCATATGAGTCCTCAAGGTGGGAAAATTTGGCTAAACCACTTATTCTCAAATAAACTTTAGGGGGATAAGGTGTCATGTTAATAAATCATTCCGTGAATGAAAACGTGTCTTACCTCGCTTTTTCTGCAGCTTACGGTTTATGTTCAGTATCAGGTTACCAATAACGCCCCAGGCAAATAGAGCCCATGTGCCCGTGACCAACGTACAGGCTATTGCAGCCGCCGAAATACTCGTGGCTATGGAGCTTTGTCGTATTGCAAAGTACGTGTTGATAAATGTACCTTCCGTGCCTAAAGAATAAACATTAGTAGTCCCACGAATCAGCACCGGCATGATACTTACGAGCACAAGTGTGTTCCGCGCAAGCTGCATATTCGATGGACGCACCAAGACATTCGCGTTTTTCCACGGCCTCTGGTTTCATTGACAGACAGTCTCTAACGCGAACGGCATATCGAACATCCCCACATGCTGGATGGCACTTATCCCATGGAGACCATTCTGTCCATTCTCCAACCCATTCGGTGCAAGCAGGGCCCGTATAACCCGGATTGCATAAACAATGAGCCTTGTAAACGGAAGCAAAAAATATTTTCTTCAGGATAAAACACATTACTATGAGACTGATATTGGTGATAGGTAAATTGATGAAGCCCATTCCAGCATGAAGAAACAGTGTGCTTGGCTTTTTGGGTTAGTAGCATATATGAGATAGCGTGAAATTCATGTCCCACCAGAACTCGCCAGTGCGGTGGCAGGGTCAGGCAGTTTTCAATCTTCGGAAACCCTCTCACAGGTTCTGTTGCTTGGATGAATTTAATCAACTCAAGTGAAATGTAGGAGTGTTTAGACTGTGATCAGAAAGAAAATAGACTAATCTCATTATAATCGACTTTAAGAGTATCGTCCTATCCGTATCGTGAACTGTAGACTGGCATTTTTTGTCCAGTATGGCAGCTTTAATTGCACATATTATATAAGAAGATGGTGTTCACTTCAAGCGTCATCGGATAACCTCGAGTGCATCTTAAGCTGCTGAAGCTTCGATAGAAGAGGGCCTATTCAACTCTCCATGATGGCCCCATTTTGAGAAATCTTAACTTTTTAATTTTGATGTGTGATAGGTTTTTCCGACTGATTGACGCATTCAAAATTCAACCGCACTTTGTTTCTTGTTGGTCGAACCATGGATATCAACCTGCCGCCCCGGTTATTCGGTAACAAAACACAAAATTAGGAAAGGGCCACTCCGTGAAAACTCGTCACCTTCTCAACATTTGAAAGCTCCTAGAGTCAATGGAATTTCCTGTTTAATCAAAAGGACCATGAACTCGAGGGCAATTCACACACACTGTCCCCCCACACTTCTACTCATTTTCCGGACATTTTTATCCACTTTCGAGGCTACATCGTGCTTAAATGTATTCGAAAAATAGGGCATATATAAATTCATGCATAGACTGAGGTGCGAATTTCCAAGCCAAACCACAAATGAGCTTGTGATCAAGATGACCAAGTGCTTGAGTCAGAATGGGTGAACGTATGGTATATAATGGTACAGTTGACCCATAGTGTAACTTGAACACAGCAAAAGGCAGTGGCTGTTGCTTCTGCAACAGACCACGACATTAGATGTGTTTGTCAGCTAAATACAAGTGAACCGTACAGAGGAAATATTATCATCATTGTCAGCTGTAGTAACCGCGTACTCGCCGTACAGTGGTTGTAGCTGCCGCAGCTTCGTTCACCGATGATTTGGGGGGGGGGGGGGGGGGGGGGTGCCATTGCAG